TCCACTGTTGACCTCAATTTATTAGTCCTCCTGCCATGTGAGAGCACCTGAGGAAATATAATCTGTGCATAAACATCAGCACACACATTCAGTACCTCTCTCTCTCTCTCCCTCTCTCTCTCTCCTTTTCTGTTATTAAAATAATCCACATGATAAAATATCCTTTAGGTAAAGAGTATTATCGTAACATTTTACCATATAACAGTAATATGTGTTGTGTTTTTAGTTCCTGTACAAGTATTTTATGATACAAATATATATAATAATATATATATAATATATAATCTCTAAATCTAGTCTAAACTTCTATAAAACATATGGCCTTTGCAATAATAATAACAATTTCTTATTTGTTTTTCCAAATAAAAATAAGACCTGCAGTATAAAAGAAAAGCTTTAAACAAGTGACTTTTTTACATATCCCGATTTGTGTCAGTACTGAAGGGACTGTGTTTGTTTAAACCCATAGTGAATTTAAATTAAATTGGATTGTGCTCTTCCCCTGCACTGTGGAGGGTAGCCGGCCCCCCAATCTGGGAACCATCGGTTTACCTAACGACTTAGTTTAAATAACCTTTATCGTCTGACTACTGGATAAATAAAGGCCTTCTAATATCCCTAATTTAAACTGACATTAAAATGTCTTTTCCCTGTTTTCTCAGATTGATCACTACGCCCAGCAGGATCTGAAGAAGGGTCTGCAGCTGTTCGGCACTGAGGGCAACGTGGGTTTGACCAACGCCTGGATGATAGTGCAAACTGATGTAAGCTGTCGTTTTAATGTCTGAAAGATTACAGGCTATTTAATACACCTGACAAATCCACTTTACTGAGGTGATGCTTTTAAAGACATCACAGCCCATTAATAATTAACTCCTGTGCCATTTAGCAAGTCACGTCTTCCTAAATACATTATCACAAGCTCAGATACATGATGTGTTGACTGCATTATTTATTGTGTCAATCCTGCTTTTCATGTCGCCAAGGTTTTATCACACTGCAGTTAAAATAAAGGCAGAGTTTTTAAGGTTTCTCATTATAAAATGCTTCAAGTGGGTGTAAAGTCCAAGTTCTGATTATTATTTTACTTTGTGGAACTAAAAGACGTATTGAACGCGGATAATAACAATCTATAAACATCACAGGCTCTCTTTGCCTGTCGCTGTCTTTAGTCTTAAGTCAAAGGTAACATCTTTAATTTTTATAATTTTGACAAAGTATATGTAAGAGATAAAAGCTTCACTTAAGTTTTGAAGGCCAGTAATGTGTGTTATGGGCCAAGTATAGATAGATAGATAGATAGATAGATAGATAGACAGATAGATAGATAGATAGATAGATAGATAGATAGATAGATAGATAGATAGATAGATAGAAAAATATTACCTGCAGGGCAAAATCTAATTAGTAACATCTAGTGTTGGGCCAGCTGTTGGGGGCTCGTGGGCCAGAGGTTTGCCCTGGGCCGGGAGATTAACAACCCTGGTATAGAGAGTTTAAAAGTCTAAACAGCATTATTAACTTTAACTGTATTTTGTGTACTTTACAAAATTACCATGAAAAAACATATTCTACATATTGTAAAAAATATTCAGGTTTGTTTGTACATCTGTGTGCCAATGTATATTGTTGTTAATAATCTGTAGTGCAAAGAGTGAGGAGAAATCTCCCCGACTGCCTTTTACATCTGTGGATTCCTCTCCCTGTCAGTCCAACAGTAAAATGTTAATGAATGAGAATCAGTGAGAGCCTTCGTAGATTAAAGGATGTAGTAAAATGCCCCAAAAGACACCAGATGCTTCTCCAATAAATCAATGAGGGTCACACACACCACAAGGGTTGTAAATTTTTTAAAGAGATTACGTTGGAATATTTACGACCTCAAAGTCCTGGGCTTAACGTTGATTCTCAAAGTTTAACACTACAGGCTACACCACATTCCTCCAAGTTGTTTGAATTCTGCTGTAGTTTGTGATAGATTACAGACGGGGGCCTTTGTTTAAGATCAGTTTTGAATTAGGGTATTCCTGATGCTGTTCACGGAGC